CTCGGAAGGAAGATGGAGCAATCTACTTCCTTAGTGATACTGCCTCGGAAACCCAAGGAGGGGTCGCTATGAGTCGGGTCTGACTCGATGGCACACAACAACAACAACAACATCACTATGGAAGTAGCTTGCCCAATCTTCCTTCTGAGGACTGGCTGGTAGGTTTGAACCGCCAGCCTTCCGGTTAGCAGTCAAATGCCTTAGGCACTACACCACCAGAGCTCTAGTTGGAAGAAAATTATAACAGCTTGTTTACCCTAATTTTTTTTCCTAGATCTCTATTTGAAACAGCTTAAGCAATTGGATGCCTGAGAACTATTCTTTCAGTTTCTTCTCCTTTAGTTCTATGTGAAAAATCAAAACTCTAGAGTTATGACATAACAGGAGGGATGAGAAGGCTGATAGAATTATGAGCTGAATCTTTTAGCACTCTGGTAAATTATTTCTTTTATTGGCACTTGAACCCCCATCCAAAAGCAAGAACTGTGTGTGAAACCTCAGGCTAATCATAACATACCATTCACAGTATAAACCCCAAAAAAAAACAAACCCACTGCCCATCCAGTCAATTCTGAATCATAGTGACCCCCATTGGGTTTCCTAGGCGGTAAATCTTTACTGAAGTAGATTGCCTCATCTTCCTTTCACAGAGTAGCTGGTGGATTTGAACTGCCAACCTTCTGGTTAGCAGACAAATGCCTTAGGTGCTGCGCCATCAGATTGGGTTATATCAACTCTCAATGTTAGTCAACCCAACCCACGGCCATCAAGTTGATCGAGTTGATTCTGACTCATAGCAACCCTATAAATACAAAGCAGAACTGCCCCATAGGCTATAACAAACAAAGCTACCTAAGGTTGCTGGTTTCTTTTCCTTTCCTTTTTTCAATTTCCAGGGCGGCTAAAATGACCCATTGAACACATAGGCCAATAAATGATTTACTCTTTTCTGCTGCACAGAACCTGAAGCGGGTTGCTGAGACCTGGATGGACGAATTTGCCGAGTACATTTACCAGCGGCGCCCAGAGTACAGGCACCTCTCCACAGGGGACATCTCAGCTCAGAAGGAGCTGCGCAAGCAGCTCAAGTGCAAGGACTTCAAGTGGTTCATGGCTGCCGTGGCCTGGGACGTGCCTAAGTACTACCCCCCGGTGGAGCCCCCACCTGCTGCCTGGGGGGAGGTGAGGAAGGGCTGCATGAAGCCTGTTCTAACCTTAGTGTGTTCTGTCTTTCATACATAGTCTGGGGTGGTGAAAGGAACTACTAACACATTCCACTCCTTTTCCCTGGAACCTAGTAACCTTAGTTTAAATCACCACAGGTAAATGAATGTCCACTTTCTTTTTAGAGATTACTAAGGATAAGAATTCAACCCTCAGCCTTGATAGCCCAACCCAGAACTATTGGACACTGTTGACTCCCCAAATAGATTTTTTACTAGAAGATATTTATATTTGACGCAAATGAAATCACCATGGGAGCTTATCAGAGCAAGTGAAAATACTTATCATGCTACTGTGTAAATAAGGGTGACCTGATGTCCATGATAAAATCCCTGTCTGTCCTCTAAGCACAGCCTTGTTTCTGCTTGTACATTCAAGGACAGGGCAAGGGAGGGCTTTTGCTCTTTCCTAACCAGAGTGTACTATGCAGAATCACAAAGAGATAAGTTTCCACAATACATAGAGCTATACAATGGGCAGGAGCCACATCAGTTCCTTAAATAGGCACTGACATTTCTACCTCTGAACAAGTCTATTTGGTCTCCCTTTATGATTTAAAATGAAAAGAACTGAATGGTACTAGTTACTAGATTCAGTTTTTTTTTTTTTTTTTTGTATAGAAGGACTATTGTGCCAGGTTCAGTTCCATTCAATACTGGTACTAAAGCCTTTTCCTGGTAGAAGAATGTTCTAAAGCAAAGACTGAAAAATGGATAGGGTGGGTTTTTTCCTAGCAATTTAGTCTACCTTTAGCAGAGGCTATCAGGGGAAAATGCAGGCTGGGCTAAATGCTAGACCCATCCCAGTTCTCCAGTCTTTCAGAAGCTGAGGGTTGACTGTCCTGCATTGTGGAAAAGCCACTTTATCATCAGTCTTGGTTTTGTAGCATTAGAGAGATCGTATAATTGTTAGCTGAAAGTCTATGTCTGCAGAGCCCTGAAATAAGGTTGCCCAGGCATGGTAGGAGAGGCCAGAGTGCCCCTCCGGCAACCTTCTTAGGTGAGTTGTTCCAACTCCCAGTAGAGAATGTGTTCAGCAAGTTCCATGTGTGCTATGTGTTTTGCTGGGAGGGTACAAGAAGATGCCATTCTCTGTCCAGGCCTGGGACACCCCAGGCATCAAGAAAGGAATCAAGGCCATCTCCCTATGCTTTGTCTTTCTGTGTTTTTGTATGTGTATATGGTACTGACACTGTCTGATTAAATTAGTTAGTAATTTGGTCTCATCCTCTGCATCTTAAATGTTTCCTTAAAGCTTCCATAGCCTGCTCATATAGTTGTAGCTATCTACTATGAACTTAAATTACAGTGGAGAAAGTTTAAAGTATACACCAGAAAGAACTTTCTTAGTCTAACATGTTGTAGAATTTAGGAATTTGTTACCCAATATGCAGGTGAGTTCCATTCTAAAAATATTTGTTTAAGATTTTGTTGCCAATTGTCACAGGTATAATAAATTCAGTCCTGCTTCAGTGACTACAGAATACACTTGAAGACCTCACACTATCACTGTATGATTCACTGCTTACTTAAAATATCAGAAATCTTTTCTCCATCTTTTTGAAAATATATGTTTGTGGGTTATTTTTCTACATGGTTATTACTTCAAACTGCAAGTGGTCACATTTTTCCACTTTTTTTCACTAAACTACAACTTGTAATTATACAACAGCTTGCTTTGAAATAAACCCAAAGCTTCTATTGAGGTTGTAGAAAAGACCTAAGCTACCAGGAATAATCAAAATAAGAAGCATTTTAAGACCAGGTTGGCTATGCCAGATATCCTTACCCATCATTCTTGACTGCCTCACACCTCTACATTGCTTGCCTGACCCCTTAGAGGCATTTCCACTCGGAATTCTTAGTCTAAACAATCAGACATTGAGGAGATTATATTTTAAATTTTTTTAAAAAACTTAAGTATCAAATTTCTTCCCCTAAAACTTCACAGAAGGTCATACGCAGGTCTAAGAAGGAAGCACAAAGGGATATAGTTGGAGGGCCAGTTGCATTTGTTGTTGTTGTTGTTATGTGCAGTGGAGTCAGACCTGACTCATAGCAACCCCTCCTTGGGTTTCCGAGGCAGTATCACTACAGAAGTAGATTGCCCCATCTTCCTTCCTAGGAGTGGCTGGTGGGTTTGAACAGTCAGCCTTCCAGTTAGCAGTCAAGTGCCTTAGGCACTACGCTACCAGAGATCCTCAGTTGCATTTAGTTGCATTTATTTAATGAAGGTATAGCACACAGCAAGGATGGAGACATAGTTAGAAGACTGGAAAAGGACAAAAGAAAGGTGAACGTAAGTAATAAGCATTTGGACTGGTAATTTGGGAATTCCCTATTTCCCAGGCAGAGTTCCTATTTCCCAGGCACAAAGGTTAAAAGGCTTGGCTGCTAACCAAAATTTTGGAGGTTCAAGTCCACCCAGAGACACCTCAGAAAAAAAAGTCTGCCAATCTGCTTCTAAAAATTCAGACCCTGAAAACCCTAGGGAGCACTGTTCTGCTCTGACAAAAACAGGGTTGCCATGAATCAAAGTTGATACGATAGCAACTGGTTTGTTTTGTGGATCCACCCCCACCCCCCCAAGGCAGAATAGATTCCAGAGAGTAAAAGTGAGACATGGACATTAATTCAGGAGAAAATGAAAGATTTGAAATAACAGAAAAGAGATGCCATGTCCTTATTATTTTTTGGTTAATAACCAACCAAAAAACCAAACTCACTGCCATCCAGTCGATTCTGACTCAGCGACCCCCATTGGGTTTCTGAGGCAGTAAATCTTTACAGAAGTAGATTGCCCCATCTTCTTTCCTTGGAGTGGCTGGTGGGTTTGAACAGCCAACCTTCTGGTTAGCAGTCAGGTGCCTTAGGCACTACGCCATCAGAGCTCCTTATTGAGTAATAACGTAAGCTACTTTTTAATACTAAACCCACTACCATCAAGTTGATTCCTACTCACAGGGACCCTATAGGACAGAGTAGAATTGCCCCATACTGTTTCCAAGGTTGTACATCTTTACAGAAGTAGACAGCCTCATCTTTCTCCCGTGGAGGGCCTGGTGGGTTCAAACCACCAACCTTTTGGTTATCTATCCAATGCTTTACCCACAATGCTATCGGAGATCCTACTTTTTAATGGTAAATAAAAATTACTAAAAGTACAGAATACATATGTGGACCAACTGAGTCTGGAAAAAAAATTATTTTTCTGAAAGGAGCTTTTATTTTTCTAACAGGCAATTTATTTTTGTTTCTGTTTTGATTGTAATTTGGATGAAAGTTTACAGAGCAGATTTATTTTCCATACAAAAGTTCATATACATTTTGTTTCATGACTCTGACTTCAATCCCCACAATATAACAGCTCTCTTCACCCACTTCCTCCCTATAGTTACCTCTTTCCTGTGTCCTTTCCTATGCATTCCTGCCCCCTGAGTTATCTCCCTGTGCAAACACTGCCCTTCTGTTCTTCCATGATTGATGGGTCATTCTAAGGAGTGTATCTACCAGGTGTAAATGTTCACCCTATATGCCTGTCTATTGTTTGGCTGGAAGCCATAGTAGTGAGTTCAGTTCCAGACCTGAAAGGTAACTAGGAGCCATAGTTTCAGGGGTTTCACCAGGATCTATCAGATGAGTAAACCTGGTCTTTTTCATGATTTTGAGTTTGGTTCCACATTGTTCTCCCACTCTGCCCAGGATCTCCTACACTGATCCCTTTCCAAGTGGTTGACAGTGGCAGCTGGTACCATCTAGTTCTTCTAGTCTCATGGTCATATAGGCTGAGATTCTCATGGTTCACTAGTCCCTTGGAATAATTGTCTGAAAGGAGTTTTTATACTTGTTTGTTTTCTTTTTCCTTTGATAGAGCTATTTTAAATAAACTTGTTATTGTAGAATAATTTTAAATTTATAGAAAAGTTATAAAAATAGTACATAAAATTCACAGACTCTTCTCCTAGCTTCTTCTAATATTAACATCATACATAACCATGGTACATTTATCAAAATTAAGAAATGAACATTAGTATAGTATATTAACTAAACTACAGACTTTATTCACATTTCATTAATTTGTTCACTAATGTCCCTTTTCTGTTCCTGGATCCAATTCACTATATGAGAGGGCTTTTCAATTTGCTATAAACTTCAAATGAGCAAAATTCTTGAATAAATGCAATAAGTTAATTGCTGTTTTAGCAAGAAAGTGAAAAGGCAAATGCAGACTGTGTGGTTCTTTTAAAGCAGTTAGAGAAAAGAACCACAAACCTCCAGCAACATAACCTCAAGAATCATTTATGGGAGATCTATGCCAAGCAGCAGGGCAACTCACTATTTTTACACTTGTACTTGGAACAGTTCTCCACCTGCTGCTCTGTGCCAACCTGATTCTGGGTAAACAATGAAGTGCTTAGGCAATTTTTGGCTCTTGTAGTTGGAACACAGATTTGTCAAGGATATATGCCACAGGCCATAAACAGCCTATAAACATCCACTCTTTTCCCAGACACATTTAGCTGGATTGTTGCACTTGCCACCTAATAAGTCTCCATGCTTCTCTCCTTGTTCCCTTTAGTTTATTCTTACCACTGTCCATTTAAAATGGGACATCGAGTCACTCCTCTATTCAAGACATTTCATCTCTTTCATGCTAAGAGCCCAAATCCTCACATGTAAGACCCTAAATGATCTCACCTCCTTTATGCCCCCTTCCAACCTCTACTTTTCCCTTAGTTTATTCTTCTCTAGGTATACTGGCCTTGTTATTGTCCTTCAAATGGGCCAAGCACAATCCCACCTCAATGCCTTTGTGCTTACTTTCCTTCTACTAAGAACCCTACAACACTAGAAATCTTTATGGCTTCTTTTCTAACTTCCTTCAGGTCCTTACTGAAACATAATAATAATAACGATCCTCTTAGTAAAGTTTTCTGTAGTCATCCTACCCAAAATTGC